AATCCATTTCTTCCTCTTTTTTTTTTTTTTGGCAGTTGTAGGGCTTGAACTCTGGGCCTGGGTACTATCCCTCAGCTCTTCAGCTCAAGGTGAGCACTCTACCACTTGAACCACAGCACCACTTCCAGTTTTCTGGTGGCTTATTGGAGATAAGAGTCTCACAAACTTTCCTGCCTAGGCTGGCTTTGAACCGAGATCTTCAGATCTTAGGCTCCTGAGTAAGTAGGATCACAAGTCTGAGCCATCAGTGCCTGGCTTTGTGAATCTGGTTCTTAAATGTAGACAAGGACCTTTCTAAATGGCTTGTGTCAGTCTACTTAAGGTTTTCAAGAAAGAAGTAGGGAGGATTAAATAAGGTGGGAATATATGTACTGATGGCTTATGCCTGTAATCCTAGCCACTCAGCCGGCTGAGATCTGAGAATCCTGGCTCAAAGCCAGGGAAGTTTGTGAGGCTTATCTCCAACCAACTAGCCAAAAGTCCGGAGTGGAGGTGTGGCTCAAGTAGTAGAACACCAGCTGTCATCCAGTAAAGCTAAGCAAGAACATGATGCTCTGGGTTCAAACCCCATACCAGCACCAATAAAAGAAAGAAGACTAGCTGCAAATCTTTTTAAATGAGTCATCTAAAAAATTTTTTTCTTTTTGGTGGGGGGGGACTTAGTTTTCTTTAGTTACTTGATCCAATAACCACATACCATAAGTTTCCTTTTCTTAACTGAATTCTGGTTGAGGAGTATTATGAACGCTATATCTGAATGTCCCCAGTTATTTCCTAGTTAGGCTGTGGCTTAGCTACGTTAGTCACCCTCAGCTGATGCTGATGGTGATTCATTCAGACAGGCAGGCAGCCAGATGATTGTTACATAAACACCAATACTCCTGGTCAATGATTTTCCCTGTGAAGGTGCCATCCTCAAGACTGCCCAGCAACCCTTTTTGACAGTTTATTCAGAGGAAGAAAGAATATGATTACATGAATTCCCAAGGCCCACATACATCATGTCTCAGCACCACACCTTTTTTTTTTGTGTGCCAGTACTAGAGTTGAACTTGAAGTCAGAGTCTATGGCACTGTCCCTTAGCTTATTCTGCTTAAGGCTACTACTCTACCACTTGAGATCCATTTCCACCTTTTTGGTGGTTAACTGGAGATAAGACTCTCATGGACTTTCCGACCTGGGCTAGCTTCAAACCCTGATTCTTCAAACCCTCAGGCCCCTGAATGGCAAGGATTATAAGTGTGAGCCACATGTGTCCAGTTTTTTAAAGAGACATGGATTGTCTCTATGGACTAGGCTGCCCTTGAACCCTATTATTTGCCTTCTTCAGCCTCCTGGGGAGCTGGGATTTGTTTCTTTGTTGTTTGTTTCTTTGTTTTTCAGTGCTAGTACTAGAGCTTGACCTCAAGGCCTCTTGTTCTTGCTTAGCTTTTTCTCTCAAGGCTAGTACTCTGCCACTTGAGCCACACTTCCACTTTAGGTTTTTTGATGGTTAATTGGAGATAAGTGTCTCTTGAGTTTGTCTTCTGGGCTGGCTTTGAACCAGGATCCTCAAATCTCAGCTCTTGAATAGCTGGGGTTACTGATGTGAGATACTGGTGTCTAGCCTTCTGTGACTTTTTTTTTTTTTTTTGGCTGGTCATGGGCTTGAACTCAGGGACTGGGTGCTGTCTCTAAGAATTTTTTTTTTTTGTTGGTCATGGAGCTTGAACGCGGCCTGGGCATTGTCCCTTAGCTCTTCAGCTCAAGGCGAGCGCTCTACCATTTGAGGCACAGTGCCACTTCCAGTTTTCTGGTGGTTTATTGGAGATAAGAGTCTCATGGACTTTTCCTGCCTGGGCTGGCTTTGAACCGCGATCCTCAGATCTTGGCCTCCTGAGTAGCTAGGATGCAGAAGTGAGCCACTGGGGCCTGGCTTCTTTGACTTCTTTTTTGTCTCCCCCCCCTTTGACTTTTGATGCCCCCAAAAGTTACATAGTTTGTAGTTACACAGATAGATCAGACTAAGCCGGGCGCTGGTGGCTCACGCCTGTAATCCTAGCTACTCAGGAGGCTGAGATCTGAGGATCGTGGTTCAAAGCCAGCCTGGGCAGGAGAGACTGTGAGACTCCTATCTCCAATAAACCACCAGGAAACCGGAAGTGGCGCTGTAGCTCAAGTGGTAGAGCGCTAGCCTTGAGCTGAAGAGCTGAGGGACAGCGCCCAGGCCCAGAGTTCAAGCCCCACGACTGACCAAAAAAAAACCAAAAAAACAGATAGATCAGACTAAACTTCCTGATGCCTTCGGTTTTGGGAATTACATTGCCCCATCTACAAGCAGTGTCGATGATTATGCTTCAGATATTAATTTGCTTTGCTGTTTGATTTTTGTATGCTAGAAAATTACCTTGGTGTAGCTTCATAACAGTCTATCAGAAGCAGTTTTATTAGTCACAGGGTAGAGGATGCTATGGCTTCCATATGAATAGCATTTGTATTTTAAAGTCAGATGCCTTAGCCAGATTTAATTACTGCAAGAACAAAAGAGTTCTTCCAATTTTTTTTTTTCTTTGCCTTATGTTTTATTGAAACATGGGCTGGGAATGTGGCCTAGTGGTAGAATGCTTGCCCAACATGCATGAAGCCCTGGGTTTGATTCCTCAGTGCCACATACACAGAAAAAGCTGGAAGTGGCACTGTGGCTTAAGTGGTAGAGTGCTCGCCTTGAGCTGAAGAGTCAGAGACAGCGCCCAGGCCAGCTGATTGACAAAAAAAAAAAAAAAGAAAAGAAAAGTGAGTCATTCTGCCGCGTTCCAGGCATTCAGAGGTGTGTCACAGGAATTTTGTTTTAGAAGAGTTGCTTCTTTAAAGACTAAATGATTGCCAGGCATTGATGTCTCATGTTAGTAAACCTAACTATTCAGGAAAGCTGAGATCAGGAGACCACCCTTCAAAGCCAGACAGGCAGAGAAGTCTGCCAGACTCTGTCTCTTAAGTAACAAGAAAACAAAAAGAAAACAGCAAAAAGATGACTGGAGGGGTTGCTCATATGGTGGAGCACCAGCCCAGTAAGCTAGCTGAGCAAGTGGGATGCCCCAGAACACCAAAAAAAGATTAAAAAGGGGGGGGGGAGGGCGGGGAAGGGTGCTGGGAATGTGGTTTTGTCTTACCAAGCATGCTCGAAGCCCTGGGTTTGATTCCTTAGTACCACATAAACAGAAAAGGCCTTGAGTAAAAAGAAGCTGAGCGACAGTGCCTAGACTCTTGAGTTCAAGCCCCAGGGCTGGCAAAAAGAAACAAAATTTAAAAAGCCCCTAAATTATTGAATAACGATATCTGCAAAGCCTCTTTGTATTCTCACTAAACAAACGTGAGTGTCTATTTAAAAGGCACTTCCTTTAGGAAAACTGAAGATGGATGCTATGGGGGAGGGGGTCTCACAGGTCTCTGACTGGATTTGAAGAGACTGTGGACTTTGAACTCTGGGAGAAAATTGCCCCAGGTGGGGGCAGTTCTCGGGGGTGTATGTGAGGAGACCCGAGGACCTGGCATGGAGCGGCCTCTTCGGGAATGGTGGGCAGCTTGTAGCCAAAAACCACATGGAAGAGTGAAGTGGGGTTTGCTGATAGACATAATCTGGGGTTGGGGATTTGTGGTAGAACCAGAGAGCTGGGGAAAGGAAATGAGGAAATTAGAAGGTAGAGCTGATATTTTGTTGGGGATTTGCGGTTACAGAGTACTCAGTCAATTGCTTGTCTTACCTTGTGAGAACTAGCCCCAATGTCCTAATTTTTACATACAACCACGTGACACATTCCCATTCCGCAAATAAGCCATTATTATTTAACATTTCTGATTCTCGTGCTCAGTCTTCTCTAGCCACGGACAGGTGTCTGTTTGAATGGTGCTGTTGGTAGCCTCCATTGACTTGGGTTTCTCCCATCCATTGGGGGAGGTTTGTCCATAGGTTTCATTTACCTTTTATCAGACCTGGATGCTGGTGGCTCGTGCCTGTAATCCTAGCTGTCCTCCAAGAGGCTGAGATCTGGGAATCACGGTTCAAAGCCAGCCTGGACAGCAAAGTCTATGAGATTTTTATCTCTAATTAACCACTAGAAAACTGGAAGTGGCACTATAGCTCAAAGTGGTAGAATGGTAGCCTTAAGGGAAAAGGAGCTCAGGGACAGTGCCCACACCCTGAGATCAAGCCCCATGAAGACCAAAACAAAACCAGAAAAACTCCTTATATTAAGGAATCTCCTTAGCTTTTGAGAGGGAATATGAAATGCCCTCAGGTACTTCAGTCAAGCTAGGGACATTGCTGGCCGCAGATTGGAGGGAGTTTCTCTAGCGTTTCCTAGGGATGTTGAACTAAATACTACAAATGGGATAGCTGAAGACAATATAAAGGAAGCTGAGCGCTGGTGGCTCACACCTGTAAACCTAGCTACTCAGGAGGCTGATAGCTGAGGATTGTAGTTCAAAGCCATATTCCAGGCAGGAAAGTCTGTGAGATTCTTGTAAAGTGGAGCTGTGGCTCATGTGGTTGAGTGATTGCCTTGAGCGAAAAAGCTCTGAGACAGTGCCCAGGCCCTGAGTTCAAGCACCAGAAGCAAACAAACCACACACACACACACACACACACACACACACACACACACACACACACACGCGCACACACACACACACACGCACGCCCAGACAACAGAAAGGTATTCTCTAGTTCTGGAGGTTAGAACTCTGAAACCTAGGTGTTAACTCTCTGACAACCCAATGGAAGCAGTCTTTCTCACCTCTCAGCTTCTGGTGGCTTCTAACAACCCCTGTGCTTTTAGAGGTACATCATTGCGGTCTCTGCCTCCAAAGTCCCATGGCGTCCTGTGCTTTCCCGTTCTTTTTTTTTTTTAATATTGAGTTTTTATTAGTGATTCTAAATATATGTGTTTAATAAAACTGTGGTAAGTGAACTTAACATCTGTCCAGAAAAGATTATATACTATATAAATTATTAAAGTCATACAAAACCATTTTTCAGCACGCTTCTCCCCCTGAGGTGGTTCATATTGAGCAAGCTTTGCTTTCAGTTTTTTATTTTCTACAGTAGCTTCATATTTTTCTTTCATTTCTGCCAATTCTAGGTGAAGCAGCTCTATTTCTGCTTAGGAGCTGGTTGGCAGCTCTTAAGTGATGCTTTAAAAAATCCAAAGCGGGGCTGGGAAGGTGGCTCAGTGGTAGAGCACTTGCCTTGCATGCCTGAGGCCCTGGGTTTGATTCCTCAGCACCACATAAGCAAAAAGAAAAAATCCGGAAGTGGTGCTCTGGCTCAAGTGGTAGAGCGCTAGCCCTGAGCTGAAGAACTGAGGGACAGCGCCCAGGCCCAGAGTTCAGGCCCCACGACCGGATCAAAAAATAATAATAAAATAAAAAAAATAAAAAATCCAAAGCACTATTAGGTTTTTCTGGTTCTTCATATAAGGCTACCAACACCTTGGTCAGGGTGTCCAGCAACGCCGACTTCCCCAAGTATCTCTGGAACTGCTCATGCTTTGAGTTGCTGGCTTTGTAATGGACCGTAGTAACAGTGGCGTCGCTGGTGTGGAGACTCGGGCTGGCGGGCTCACTCTTATAACAACACCAGTCATTGGACTTGATTTCATCTTAATTATATCTGGGAAGTGCCTACTTCTAGATCAGGGTGCATTGATAAGGATCAAAGGCTAGAACTTCAACAGAACTTTTTTGGGGGGATGGGGCACAGTTCAACCTACAACAAAATTCCTTAACTATTTTTTTAAATTTCTTTTTATTGTAAAGGTGGTGTACAGAGGGGTTACAGTCACATAAGTAAGGAAATGAGTACAATTTCTTGTCAAACATTGTTACCTCCTCTCCATTTTCACCTGCTATCCTGACTTCCCCCCACCCAGGTTGCAAAGTTCATTTCCAACATATGTCTTGTGAGTATTGCTGTTGCATTGGTTCACTCTTTGTCCTTTGTCTCACCATTTCTGTGATTTCCTCTTCCCATCCCCAAATCAGATAAACTTATGTACAATACAAAGGGTACTGAAATTAAAAACAGTGGCAACAGGGGGTAAACCAAAGGAAAAATAAAAATGAAAGAAAAAAAATAACTGCAAACAGTAAACTAAGAAAAAAAAAAAACCCAAACCTCCTGTTTCCATATCTTGTAGGTCATATGTACATAGCTATTGAGCTCTTGTGATCCTCTGCTAGGATTGTCCTAGACATATATTAATCATTACATATGAGGGAAATGAGGCAGCCTATGTTTGTTTTGGTCTGGTTTACATCACTTACTATGCTTTTTTTCTAAGACTGCATTTCCTTATGTATAGGCCATGTCATTCTTTCTATATCTTGGCAATGGTAAACAATGTTGCACTGAACATGGTTGTGCTGGTAGCTTTACTGTGGCTTTGTGGTCTATTTAAATGCCCAGGAGTGGGATTGCTGGGTCATAGGGAAGCTCTATGTTTACTCTGTTGAGAAACCTCCATACTGCTTTCCAGAGTGGTTGAACAAGTTCACATTACCACCAGCAATGGTCAGTTGTGGGGCTTGAACTCTGGGTCTAGGCACTGTCCCTGAGCTCTTCAGCTCAAGGCGAGTACGCTCTACCACTTGAGCCACAGTGCCACTACTGGTTTTCTGGTGGTTAATTGGAGATGAGTCTTATGGACTTTCCTTGCCTGGGCTGGCTTTGAACTGTGACCCTCAAATCTAAGCCTCCTGAGTAGCTAGGATTACAGGTGTGAGCCACTGGTGCCCAGCTATTAGTTTTTTTTTGGTAATGGCTATTCTAACTGGGGTGAAGTAGAATTTCAAGGTTGTTTTGAAAACCCCTTAACTATTAATAGCTAGTTCAATTTGAACTGGCATGGAAAACTAAGGGAAGTCAGCACTGGTGAAATCGAACTCTTCCATTTAAAAGAATTAGGAATTCCATACTCCAGGACCACTTTAGTTCCTGTCAGGTAGAGCAGAAGAAAGATGCTGCTAGGTAGCTTTATTTCCTTTGCAGAGGCTGCTGGTATTTACCAATGCCGTGTTCCTTTCTGGTGAGGGAGGGCAAGGAGCATTGTGGGGAAGGTGGGATACAGGTTGGAGGTTTTCCTTAATATGTACCACCACCTTTACAGTCATTCCGTGATTACCTATTCCTCTTCCAACATGAAAGGAACATCTTACAAAAGATTCAAATTAGAAATTTCTCAAGGTCCTATCACTTTCTAGTTCCAGACTACAAGCCTCCCTTCAGACAGGACCTATAGCTATTTTTTTTTGAGTGTTTGCTAGTACTGGGGCTTGAACTTAGGGCTTCACACTTTGGCTTAGCTTTTTTCACTCAAGGCTGACACTCTATCACTTGAGCTCCAGCTTCATTTTCAGCTTTTTGCTAGTTAATTGTAGATAAGAAGCTCATAGACTTTCCCACTTGGCCTGGCTTCCAACCTCCATCCTCAGATCTTTGCCTCCTGAGTTGTTGGGACTACAGGTGTGAGCCACCTGCTTGCTCCTGGTTCTAACTGGTTTTATCTCCAAGAGGTTTTTATTCTTCATTATGGCTTGTCCAGACTCTTGTTCTTGAGGAGGATCATTGATTGTGCTGGAGGGTTTGTACTATTTCCAGATTCGGCTCTCAGTGTTTCTGTCTCTTTGGGGTTTACAGGTCACTGAGCTGAATGAACCTCTCTCCAATGAAGATCGAAATCTCCTCTCAGTGGCCTACAAGAATGTGGTTGGTGCTAGGCGATCTTCTTGGAGGGTCATTAGCAGCATTGAGCAGAAGACCATGGCTGATGGAAATGAAAAGAAACTGGAGAAAGTGAAGGCGTACCGGGAGAAGATTGAGAAGGAGCTGGAGACAGTTTGCAATGATGTCCTCGCTCTGCTCGACAAGTTCCTCATCAAGAACTGCAACGATTTCCAGTATGAGAGCAAGGTGTTTTACCTGAAAATGAAGGGTGATTACTATCGCTACCTGGCTGAGGTGGCTTCCGGGGAGAAGAAAAACAGTGTGGTTGAAGCTTCAGAAGCGGCTTACAAGGAAGCCTTCGAGATCAGCAAAGCGCATATGCAACCTACGCACCCCATCCGGCTGGGCCTGGCCCTCAACTTCTCTGTCTTCTACTATGAGATCCAGAATGCACCTGAGCAGGCCTGCCTCTTAGCCAAACAAGCCTTTGATGATGCCATAGCTGAGCTGGACACATTAAATGAGGATTCCTATAAGGACTCCACGCTCATCATGCAGCTACTGCGAGACAACCTGACCCTCTGGACAAGCGATCAGCAGGATGAAGAAGCAGGAGAAGGCAACTGAAGAGCCTTCTGGTCCCTTCCCTAGCCCTTCCTTCCCCCCACCAGCCTATCATCACCAACCCTTCTTTACCACCATCACAAAATAATCTAGTGCTAAACCTATCTGTATTGGAGCACAGCTACTCAGATCTGCTCTCCTGTCCCTTGGGAAGCAGCTTCAGATAAACCTTGGGCATTGCTGGACTGATGATTGCCTTGAGCCCACAGGAGCTCCCTTTTTTGAATTGTGCAAAAGCATGTGTTTTGAAGGAGGCATTTCCCATGCCTGTTGATGGATGGCAAAAGCAGGCAGAAGTAATCAAGTTTTGAGAGGAGAATTAGCCAACCCAGGAGATGGTTAATAGTGAAAACAAGCTGATAGTGTTTGGTTAGACATCTTGTGCATGCAAAAATGAATTCAACCCTCCCGCGTCTTTCTTCAGCTAATGGAAAACTGTTAAGGGAAGCTGATCCAGAGAGATAACGTGCTCCTATCCATCAGCTTTATAATAAACTGTTTAATGTGAGGTTTCAGTAGCACCTTGTTTTGCCTCTTTAAATTATGAAATGCACAAACCCTTCTTTTCAATGCAATGCATCTAAAGTTTTGATATGTGTAACTTTTTTTTTTTTGTTTGTTTGCGATTGTTTAAGAATCATGGATTGATTTTTTGTAACTCTTTGGCTATTGTCCCTGTGTATCCTGAGCGCATCATGCGTGTCAGCCCATGTCAATCAAGATGGGTGATTATGAAATGCCAGACTTCTCAAATAAATGTTTTGGAATTCCAAGGGTAAATAAATGCTGCTTTGGGGATATCTTTGTGTCTTGCCTCGAGTTTTTTCCTTTCCCACGGGCTGTGTTGTTATTGCTTTTTTTTTGGTGCCAGTAATCAGGGCTTCATGCTTTCACTTAGGTTTTTCACTCAAGGGTGGTGCTCTACCACTTGAGCCACAGCTCTACTTCTGGCTTTTTTTTTTTAATGTGCTGGTCCTGAGGCTTGAGTTTAGGGCCTGGGCATTGTCCCTGATCTTTTTTTTGCTCAAGGCGAGTGTTCTACTTGAGCCCCAGCTCTACTTCTGGCTAGGGGTTATAGGCATGAACCACTGGTGCCCAGCTACTCCTGGCTTTTTGCTTGTTAATTGGAGATATGTCTTACATACTTTTCTGCTGGAGCTGACTTTGAACTGGGATCCTTCAATCTCAACACTCCCTTCTTCCCCTGCTGAGTAGCTGGGATTATAGGTAGCCTGGCTCCTCTTCCTATTGAGCTGCTAGGTAACTTGGGTCAGTCTTTGTTCTTACTATTCTGTTACTGTGTCTCTTCACCTCTGTTGGCCTCTGTGGTACTTCTAAAATACTGGGTGAACTAAAGATGGAAGGAATCCATTGTCAAGTTCATGTTCAAAGTATATCATTGTCCCTGCCATTCTGGAGTACAGAAACTCCCAAGAAGGGAAAGGACATTACTAACTTTTGTGGGCTATTCACTCTAAATGAGACTTTACATATATTAAAAAAATTGTTTAGTGGAGGTGTGGCTCAAATAGAGCAGCAGCCTTGAATGAAAAAACCAAGTGAGAGTGTGAGGCTCTGAGTTCAAGCTGAGCAGCACTGGCACACACACCACAAAAAGTTTTAGTGTATTTGTTAAATAGGGAGACGGAATTCATTGCTACATTTCTACCTGTTTACAATATATCCCAATCAATATCACCCCTTCTATTATTTTTTTGGGGGGGGTCCGGTTGTGGGGCCTGAACTCTGGGCCTGGGTGCTGTCCCTCAGCTCTTCAGCTCAAGGCTGGCGCTCTACCACTTGAGCCACATCCCTACTTCTGACCTTTTGGTGGTTAATTGGAGATGAGTCTCAGACTTTCCTCCCTGGGCTGGCTTTGAACCTCAATCCTCTCAATCCTCAGATCCCAGTCTCCTGAGTAGCCAGGATTACAGGCATGAGCCATTAGCAACCTGGCCATTATTCTCTTTGAAAATTTTTTAAAAAATTTTTTATTGTAAGAAAAGAGATGTGCAAAGGGATAACAGAAAGTTCAGGTGATGAGTATATTTAGTTGGAATTAATTTTTATTTTTGTCCGTCACGGTGTTGGAACTCAAGGCCTAGGCACTGTCCCTGAGCTTTTTCCACTCTACCACTTTGAGACACAGCTCCATTTTGGCTTTTTGGAGATTCATTGGAGAGAAGAGTTGCAGATTTTCCTACCTGGGCTGACTTTGAACCCCAATCCTCAGATCTCAGCCTCCTGAGTAGTTAGGATTACAGGCGTGTGTCACTAGCTTCCAGCTGGATATCTTATCTTGACCATATTCATCTTCCATCTACCTTGTTTGTCCAACTTCTTATTGCTAAATTCCATTCCCAACAGAGCCTATGCTTTACATACTTTGTGTATGTGGCTGCTTTACATAGGTGTGTGTGCACACACATGCATGCATGTGTGCGCCCCCTTGCGTGTGTGCACTGGTCCTGGAGCTCGGTATTCTGGAGCTTTTGTACTCAAGGCTCTTTTGTACTGTACTACTTGAGTCCTAGCTCTATTTCTAGCCTT